AAAAACAAATCTTTTTCCGATGCAAACGGCTGATGCGTACGTAAATGTATTTTTACCAGATCTATAAATGCTTTACAAATTACATGCATGTACGTAGTAAAGAAGGAAATTGGATTTGAAGCGAGCTTGCCGTAGAACAAAACTACACATTTGCATCTCCCAAACAAAAGTGTATAAGAATTCATACAATACACAAAAGCAAAAATCGAATTTGCTAAATTGAATTCCAGTCGTCGTGTGCGAGGATCGTATGGCATATTTCAAACAAATTGTGTAACTTTTACGGGACGGGAGTGCAGAAAAGGGATGAAGCTCGCTAGTTGGATACTAAAAAACAAGATTTGTGATGTCATTTGACGATAGGTACTCCGTCAGCAGCGAAGCATATATATTTTTTAAACATATAAGAATAAGGTAATTGCGTTTTATGACAAAGGTTTCATAAGTAATTCACTTTCGTAGGTTTATATACAGGGTAGCCCATCGAAAACGTACCGCAAGGCATTACAGAGTAGTAATGAACNAGTCTGTCTGTGTCCCAGGATAAAATATAAAAATAAATTGTATATCTCTTAATAGTTCAACTTAATTTTTATAGTAGGTATCTACTATGTATGCACTATGTAACCAACGTCAATAACTACATACGAATACACGAATACTATATTATGCTGTTATTGGCTATAAAGAAAGAAAACGATTACCTATTCGGATATTCGAATGAACGGATTATCGAATAATCGGTTATTTAAATAATCGGATATTTAAAGAATCGAATAACCGGTTTTCGGGTTTCGTAAAAGTTCGAATTATCCGAAACCGGTTAACCTACTATCCAAAAAAACCGATTTCAGTTGCCAACACTAGTCGTGCTATCTATGGCCACAACTACACTTTTCTATAGGGTGTTTCTTAAGTAGAGGTCAGGGGCGTATTCTGTGGTCAATAATAAAGGTTTTTTCTTATATAATCGTGGGGTCTTAGGACAGCCATTGTCCAGCTACATCGTGTCAAAAATTAAAGAAAATCAGTTTTTTAATTTCTACACTACTTGAGATAATTTAACCATATTCGTTGTGGATATTTAGTATGACAGTAGGTATGAAACAAAAAATTACCAGCTTTAGAAACTTACCAGTGGCGCAGGTGTGGGTATCACCGATCATTATTTGCCAGAAAATATATATACCCTGTATAATATTACAAATGAAATTGGTCATCATATGCGCCATTGTATTATCTCCACTTTTTGTTTCTTTACACTTTTTTGTATTCTAAACCGATTAACAACGAAATTGGTTTATTTGATCAAGTGCATTTTTACGATTACTTACCATTACGTAAAACAATAACAAAATAATTACTTTATTATGATTTATTATAACAAATATTGGAAATGGCCACTCTCAGCCAAAATCTTATTCTTCTTCAGATCTTCTTGAAATTGCAGCTCGAGTAGTGCAAAAATTCCAGAAGTAGTTTTTATCATGTCACAACCATTAAAATTTGTTGACGTAAGTGCTTTTCAGATTCATTGTGAAACTAGTGACTTGAGATGTCCCCAAACAAAAAAAGTCAATAAGGTTCACATCGGGTGATCTGGGTGGCCAAGGTTAACCTGGTTCTTGAATGCCTCGTCAATCATGTTATTACCGAATCTTTCATTTAAAAATTCACGAGCAGTCAAACTAAATTGTGGGGGAGCCCCATCGTGCATAAACCGCATTCTTTCTCTTAGCACATAGAGAACATTGCCACAGAGTAAGTAATACAGAGGAGACGGCCGGGGGAATGCCTTTGATGTCTGGACATTCTCTAATTTGACCTTGTCCCTTTAAATGGGAAGTGGGCAGTGTTGCCAGACTCTCTGTTTTTTCCTAGAAGCAATGTTGCCTTTTACCTACTTTCTGTTTTTATTTTGGAAAATATAAGTATTGGGTGATGTTGCGGTGTACTTTAGAAAGATATATTTTTGGAAAAGTATTCCAATTCACATTATATTTATGAATATTTGACATACCTATATTAATTGCCCAAAAATGTTAATAATGGGAGCAAAATACCTTAACTGTGTTTTTAATAGTTATTACATTTATATAATAGTTTATTACTTATTATTAGGTATAGGATTATTATAATTATCGCCATTAGTTTCACCACTGTTTTTTTTTTCAAATAAAGTTTGTGTATCAGAGAGAGGTGGTAATCAATAATCCGCAACCAAAAAGAGTAAAATACCTCGTTCCTGAAAAGTAATGAACTCTACAGCACTTACTTTAAATATGTGAGACATACATTATTTCAAAGTTGTGTTAAGAGGAAATAGGAAATCTGCTGACTTATAATCTTTATAAAATGTGTTCACAATCTTTTAGGTTTTTTGCAAGTGGTTTTATTCATTTTTATCTTACGTAATAGTTTCATGACATAAATACTTCAATTAAAAACATAAGGAACTAATATAATTATATAGAAAATATAAAATAAAAAACTTAGTATATTTATTATAATTTATGGATTGAAAAAACGGAATATAAAAAAAAATTGTTGAAATACCTTTTATGTCTGGTTAACTGTGTATTACTGATTTGTTGACTGATAATGGTTTAATTAGAACTTTAATACAGTGGGTGAAATAAAATAAAAGAAAATGTAAATGACACTGTTCGATATTGATAGCATAGTCCAGCCGTCTTGGATCTTGCATGTTTGGATCCTGTTAACGCGACGTATTTACGAACATGCGCATTGCGCACCGGACATTTAAACTGGCCTTTTAAATGGGAAGTGCACGTCATCTCTCTTTAATTTTCGCTTCTTTGTCTTACTGGCACATCTGTATCTACTCTGTGACCCTGTATATAAACATGCTTTGAAAGACTGGTACTTAAATATTAAATTGCAAACATTACAATTTTTTTACATTTAAATATTATTTTAAATACACTTTTAATATGGAATTAAATTTATCTCACCTAAAATTTAATATAAATAACCATTTTATTTACAATTTGAAAATTGTACGATAATAGCCGAATTCTAAAAATTTTAAAATCAACTGTTGTGAAGTAAAAATAGTTAAAAATGAGAATTCAGAAAATATATGAGTTCACTTGAACATTTGTTTAATTTTGCTTGAAATATTTAAAAAGTAAAAGGAAACGTTTTGATTATAAAGAGTAAAGTAGATGATAACCTAAAATTGAAGCAGAAATTTTTATTTGCGACAAAAAAAAAAGGGAATAAAAAGCGGGCGTCCTGCTTAGTGCTGGCAAAAACCAAAAAAAGTGAAACCGACTTCCGTAAAAACCGATTTCAAGTAAAACCGGTTAACCGAATAGTAGTTAAAACCGGGTATTCGAATAACCGGTTACTCGAATAATGGCCAAAACCAGATATCTGAAAAAATCGGTGTTTTGAAAAACTGACGGGATATAGGTACGAAGTTATTAAAATATTTTGAATTTTAAAGTTAAATCTAATGTGAAAAGTTAAAATGTAAAACAGTTACACTTAATAAACTGTGGTTCTTCAATTTATTATTTATATAAATGGGTTTGGTCGTTTGATGCATGTGGGTGATTGTTTTTTTATCAGTCTGTGTCTGTGTCCCAGGATAAAATATAAAAATAAATTGTATATCTCTTAATAGTTCAACTTAATTTTTATAGTAGGTATCTACTATGTATGCACTATGTAACCAACGTCAATAACTACATAACACGAATACTATATTATGCTGTTATTGGCTATAAAGAAAGAAAACGATTACCTATTCGGATATTCGAATGAACGGATTATCGAATAATCGGTTATTTAAATAATCGGATATTTAAAGAATCGAATAGCCGGTTTTCGGGTTTCGTAAAAGTTCGAATTATCCGAAACCGGTTAACCTACTATCCAAAAAAACCGATTTCAGTTGCCAACACTAGTCGTGCTATCTATGGCCACAACTACACTTTTCTATAGGGTGTTTCTTAAGTAGAGGTCAGGGGCGTATTCTGTGGTCAATAATAAAGGTTTTTTCTTATATAATCGTGGGGTCTTAGGACAGCCATTGTCCAGCTACATCGTGTCAAAAATTAAAGAAAATCAGTTTTTTAATTTCTACACTACTTGAGATAATTTAACCATATTCGTTGTGGATATTTAGTATGACAGTAGGTATGAAACAAAAAATTACCAGCTTTAGAAACTTACCAGTGGCGCAGGTGTGGGTATCACCGATCATTATTTGCCAGAAAATATATATACCCTGTATAATATTACAAATGAAATTGGTCATCATATGCGCCATTGTATTATCTCCACTTTTTGTTTCTTTACACTTTTTTGTATTCTAAACCGATTAACAACGAAATTGGTTTATTTGATCAAGTGCATTTTTACGATTACTTACCATTACGTATAACAATAACAAAATAATTACTTTATTATGATTTATTATAACAAATATTGGACATGGCCACTCTCAGCCAAAATCTTATTCTTCTTCAGCTCTTCTTGAAATTGCAGCTCGAGTAGTGCAAAAATTCCAGAAGTAGTTTTTATCATGTCACAACCATTAAAATTTGTTGACGTAAGTGCGTTTCAGATTCATTGTGAAACTAGTGACTTGAGATGTCCCCAAACAAAAAAGTCAATAGGGTTCATATCGGGTGATCTGGGTGGCCAAGGTTAACCTGGTTCTTGAATGCCTCGTCAATCATGTTATTACCGAATCTTTCATTTAAAAATTCACGAGCAGTCAAACTAAAANTGTGGTACAAATCAGTAATTTAGGATAATTTTCAGCATTTGTAATAGATGTGTTCATTGTTTCAATGGCATAGGCTTGCGGTGACTGTTAACTATATTTTTAAAATGCTTTATACTGGTGAAATGTGCATGTTTTTGTTTTTTCAAGCGTTTTCCTGTTCATAAATGATTCACTTATTTTAGGTAATAGTGATGAGTCCAGTGAAGCTAAAACATTAAAGTGGACAAAAGAAACAACAATGTTATTAATAAGTTCATATAAGGAAAAAAAAGATGATTTCCGGAACCCAAAAATTAAAAAACGAGCTTTGTGGACTTTAATAAAAGAAGAATTTTATAACCATGGATATGCCATAACGGAGGAGGAATTAGATAGGAAATGGCGCAATTTAAAAAAAACCTACACGGGTCTACTGGACAACAAGAAGTCGACTGGACGAGGCAGAATTTATTGGGAATATTTTGATGATTTCCAAGAAATATATTCTGCTGATAAATCGGTTCATTTCCCACAAACAATTTCAACAACTGCAACAATTTCTTCATCTATTATCCCTGTTACTTCATCATCTGCCATCTGTGCCGCTTCATCATCTGTCATGTCTTCATTAGTCCAGCTACCACAATTTTCATCAAGTCCCAAATGTGTAAATTTAGCTGGCCCCTCAACATCAAAAAATTCTGCTGGTCCATCAAATGTTACAAATTTAATGTTCAGTAGTGTAAGGGATGAAGAAAAAGTTAATAAAAGAATGAGAAACAAGAATCTCTACAGTCTGCGAAAACGGTTGACTGATTTAGATGAAAAGAGACTGGAAGAATTAACACGAATTAGGTTGGCTATTGAAGAAAACAATCGGATCCAAAAGGAGAGAAATGAACTATTAAAACAAATTGTAAATAAATAAATGTTATTGGTTCTGTGTTTCTAGTTTCTACTTTAAAAATGTTGTGGGTTTAACAGAAATAAATGTTCATGATTGATAAGTTTGTATAAGTTTTTATTACATAAATATTGTATAAAAAAGTAAAAAGAATACTATATATAAATATAATAAAATATGACAAAACAATTAGAATTGGAATAGTTAAATGTTTGCCAGGATATTGAAGAAGTTAAATTCATACTGATATGTAAAATTCAAAAAAGGGAAATGGCTTATACGATTGAATTTACACTCGTATCGAATAGGGTGCGAGTGTAAATCTAACAAGATCAGGAATAATTATTATCACATTAAGGTTCAAATACATGCTAAAATGAATGTCTAATATTATTATTATATAGAAAACGTCAAAATAAGTTCTCTTGTAATTTTTTCTCTAAAATGCTCTATATTTCATATTTTCATATAATTACAACAGCAAATGCTCTGATATCTGCGCCCTCTTTTCTACAGCGAGGTTCCTGTTGGCATCCGGCTCATTACCATCATACTCATTTATAATTCCTGGATCAGCCTGAAACTCTTCATTATCTTCACTATCATGCATAATGATAAAGTTGTGTAATACACAAGCTGCACTAATTATTTGACTGCCAAAATCTGGGTTGGAAATGTCAAGATACTTCAATCTCCGGAATTTCCCTTTTAAACGACCGAATGCACGCTCCATTACAGATCTTGCTGAACTATGACTAATATTATAGTTACTTTGTATATCATTCAAATGGCCATTATCCCTAAACGGGGTCATTACATTTAGAGACAATGGATAAGCCGAATCACCAAGCAAATGTAAGTTGCGAGGCATAGCATGTACTTGGGCAAATATAGGGCTAGTTCTAAAGACACGTGCATCATGAACACGTCCAGGAACACCTATATATACATCCAAAAATTTCATTGTGTGATCACATATTCCTTAAAACAAAATTACTTCATTATTTGATCAACATATTTGACATATTTTATGTGTACCTTGCAATATGATGGAATGATAATTGTTGCGATTGTAATAATCATTAGCATTTTCCATTGGTTGCTTAATTTCAACATGGCAACCATCAATTGCACCAACAATACCAGGGATACGAGATCGAGCATAAAATGCCTACAAAGTATACTCGTATTTACAAAAATGACAAATATAAATGGAAATAATTATGTATTACCTCTTGAATTGTATCATAGTCTACTGGCCACCTTATATAATGTGCTCTTAAATGATGGAGAACTTCTATTATTTCACGAAATATATTATGAGCAGTGCTTCGTGCTATTCCAAATCGGTCTCCTGCTGCCAAGAAACTTTCTGCTTTCGATATTACCCATATCGTAAATAATATTTTCTTCTCTAATGGAATTTTATGATACACATGTAGTCCTACCACTGCATTGCCAATAATACCAGTTAATTCCTGTGGAATAGGTTTCAAAGTTTCATTGGGCTCTATCTAATTTGTTATCAATTTTACTTACTTCTAAAGTTGCTCTAGACATTCTAAAGTGTTCCCTAAACAAATCGACCATATAAAGAGGAATTGTAACTTCATAAAAGTCTTCATTTTTGGGTACGACTCTTCTGTCATCATTATTAATTATTTGTAAAGGTTGTGCTAAATCGTTAACAATTTCACCTAACATATTAAAATCTATTGGTTCATCGTCTATTAATAACAAATGCAAGTTATCCATTTCTTTTCCTAATAACTAGTCCACGATTTTTTAACCACAATCAACAAAATAATTCAAAAATTTCACTATCTTCTATCCGTATTCTTTTTCCAAAACTGTCAAATGTCAAAAATATACCGATATGTCCAGCAGATTTTCGTTACCGTTTGGTAACTCTACCGGTAACTGTTTTGTCTGCTGAATGCGCCCATTGCCAAGTAGTTGAGGTAAAACATTATCAAGAAAATATCTGTAGGAGGCACCGGTTAAAGTTATTGGTAAAAACTAAGGCCCAACAAGAAAATTTCCAATAGTACCCACCCATACATTCAAAGAAAACTGATGTTCAAATCGTTATTTCATTATTGCATGAGGGTTTTCGTCAGACCAAACGTGTTTATTGTGAAAGTTCATTATAGCATCTCTGGAAAAATTAGCTTCGTCGGTAAATAACATTTTGTTAAATTTTTTGCAAAATTCATTGACAAAATTGAAGGCGGGCAGGATAGTCTTGCGGCAGTAAGGCTTGAACCCTTTGTGAGATATACGGTTATAACAGTTGATGCTTCAGAACGGACCAAACTAATTCATGATTCACATTAAGATTTGCAGCGATATTCCTAATACTAATATTTGGGTCTTCAATTTCATGCAGAATAGCTTCTTCCAACTCAGACGTTCTAACACTCAAGGTCTTTCAGGAATTGAACCTTGCAGAATGAGCCTGACTTTGAAAGACCTTGAAAAACATTTCAGAACATTCTTCGAGTTGGATGATTTGCAAATCTTTCCATATAAATTCTTGCTAGGCCATAAATGTAAACCATATTGGCCATTTCAGCATTTGAATATGCATAAGCCATTATTAAAACTTAATCTTTTTAAAACATTGGCTTAATTTGACAATACACAATAAATAAGATGACGACGGCTTCTTATTATTATTGTTTTCATGGCCTCCCTAAGATATGTTTAAGTAATTTAAGTAACTGTAAAAATGCACTTGGTCAAATAAATCAATTTTGTTGTTCATCGGTTTGGAATACAAAAAAGTGTAAGGTAACAAAAAAGTGAGGACAATGTAATGGCGCATATGATGGCCTATTTTATTTGTAATATTATACAGGGTGATATTTTTTTGCCAAATAATCATCGGTGATACCCACACCTCCGCCACTGGTCAGTTTCTAAAGCTGATAATATTTTGTTTCATACCTACTGTCATACTAAATATGCACACCGAATTTGGTTAAATTATCTCAAGGGGTTTAGAAATTAAAAATTAAAAACAGATTTTTTTAAAAATTTTGATACGCTGTAGCTGAACAATGGCTGTAGCCAAGACCCCACATTTATATAACAAAAAAACCGTATTTTTGGACACAGAATAGGCCCTTGACTCTACTTAAGAAACACCCTGGATATACAGGTGACTATTCCAGAGGTACTCAACAAGTTTTGGCTATTGAAAAATTAAAGCCTTATTGTGAAATCGGTTATTTTTTAAAAGAGAGTACTAAACATTTGTATTCGCAGTCAATTATTTTATAAATTATTGAAAATTAGATTCAGTTGAATTTATAGTATTAACTAAATTTGTGCCAGCAGTTGCGTTCTACTTAAAAATGCTCTTCATGTTCGTAAACACCCTGTATATTTATGTACAATTTGCTTACATTTGCTTACATAAGTATGATTTTGTAAATCACTTATTTAAATGTGAAAATATGTGTGTAATCTGATTGGTTGGTTTAAAATACATAAAAAATTAGCACGTTTTTAAAATGTATTATTACAATGTAAAAAGCAACATATTTTCTTTTGGTTAGTATTTATCTATGGCATAGTTTTCGTTTTTTTCCTTATTTTTTGGGAGAAAATTTAAAAATTAGTGAAATTACTCCAACACAATCAGTCAAGGATAATTTTTTAGAAAATAGGTTTGTCTAACCAAAAAACCCCCGAAGAAAGAAAAAAGCAGACAAATACAAAATACAAAAACAGATCATTTTATGTACACGATGCATTTAAATAGTTTTAACTTAACTATAAGACACAACAAAGAAAGCAACATTTTTAGAATAATTACGAGAAATATCTCTAGCCATAAATTTATGGGTTTGTTCCAAATTTTTTGGAAATTTTGGATAACATTGTTAGCATTACATGATGCTTTTTTTGTAAGCGAAACGTAATATTATTGAAACATACGGAGAAATTCCAAACATGTTTTATACAAGATTTTTATATCTATTTCTCCGAGACTTTTTTATAAACCAAGCTCATCGATAATTCATACATCAGCTACCATAACAACAGTTATTAGGATTTTACTAATCATAATCCAATCACTGCTAAGCCTCAATGACAAAATGAGGCCTCTTTCTGACGCGGCCCTCGTAGGATATTATTTTGCAACTGTATCCCGACGAGAAAGTGTCCGATAACATAATTGGCGGAAGGTTCAACCCTTCTGTAACGAAGTTCTCGGAGGCAAATTCTTTCCGCGTTCTGTGACACAGCGGATTCAATTACTGTCGATTTATAACGCCGAAGTTTTTGCTCAGCGCAGTAAATACCCGTTTAGGCTGAGAAATCAATTACAAATACAATTAAGTCGCCCCGCAGTTAAATTATTTAGGCATTAATAAACCAAGTAATCTAATTTTGAACAGTTGAATTCCGAATTGCAATTATCATTCATTTAGACAATTACCGGTGTTCGTTTGTCAAACAGAGCCCTCTCTGCGGCAACCGCTGCCGGATCAATCACATTAGTTTTAGTTTCTGCATTTTTAACGTGCTCTAGTTGCGTGCTCCGAATATTTTTTAGTCATTTAGTCCGTTTTGAAATAGAAATCGTGTTCATTTTATCTGGGTTTTACTAATGCAGTAAGCATCATCATTATACACGCTATCCTCTACTATGTCCTATTTCTACATGTCAGTGTCGAGTTTTTTTTGTTAGTAAAATGTACTAAATTTGGGCTCTAATTCAAAACATAATTAATTCTCTGGAAATGGGTGAATTTCTGCTTAGTCTACCAACGCACATCACTGTCTTCCAGGCAAAATGGTTCGTCCTTGGCTTCACCTCGTATATCTTCATGCAAACCTTCGAGAAATAATCTTTGGATTGAGCAACTCTATGTTGATGATCATCTGAACTTGTGATTATAACAATATATACGGATTTTTGGACCTCTTTCATGGATACATATGAAGAATAGTTGGAAGAAGACGATATCCTTTTGTTCCTAGATGTTCTTGTCTTAGTTTATAGAAAGTCTTATGCTGAATGTCACCACCATCTGACCCAGACACAAGGGATC